CGTGAAGCTAGAAAAGGCCAACATTCCGAGAAAGCAGAGGAGCGAATAAGCACGCATTAAGGTGCTCAAACTCGCCCCCCAGGTAAACCTGCATAAAAGTAGCAGTCTCCCGCTAATCAAGCGTGCGGGTCCGACAGAACCCATGCCACGCCCCCAACGAAAAGAAAGGGCAGTCTGCCAGCCAGGAAGACCCCGGAACCTCCAAACGCACCCAAAAATGGGAAGAAGAACCGAACTCAAACGAGGACGGATCCATTGGGGAGGCATAACCCGGGTCTCGCAAGAGGTATGCAGCAAGAGCTTCCCGTGCCACCTTCGCGGAGAGACGGGAAGTAGCAAACCCCTGTAAAGACGGAGCCGAGGTACCCAAAGGCGCCCGGAACCGAACCCGGGGAGGAGCCGAACCCAAATCATACTCATACAGGGAGGGAGGGTAAGAAAATCCCTCCCCCTGCAACAATAAACCCCGTGGGGAAGGCAAAAGCACCCAAGCGGGGTCACAGGGGGCCCAAGTCCCCCAGGCCGACTCCTCCCCAGCCCCAGGATCCCCTACGTCGGGACCCGGGGCAGAGCCGTCCTCCAAACCCTCTACCCCTGAAGAAAAGGTAGAGTCCAAGGGAAAGGCAGACAAGAAGGGGGCCTGCTGGTGGGACCCAGAAGCCTCGGCAGGAGGAACCGGCTCAAATGCCTCCGTCCCCGACCCGGATGGGGCAGCCCCCGAAGCAGCCCGAGTCTCTCCACCAACTAAATCCTGTGCCAAGGCCGAAAACAGCATACGTTTCGGAGCCGGACACAGGGGGGGAGGTGCAGGAAGAACCACAGGGGAAGGACCAGAGGGCGCTGCAGGAGCCAAAGCCATAGCAACCAACGCCCCCAGGTCAGGGTCCCTAAAGCCAAAACGGGGCAGCCTCGGGGCATCCAGGCGGGAAACCGACCTAGCGCGTTGCAATAACCTAAATCTAACATGCAACGCTGATGCTGCCTGTACTCTAATAGGAACATCCTCAGAGTAAAACCGGAGCACAAGCAGAGAACAGGACTCGCAAGACTCCGGGTCAAAGGTGTCATTGACCCAACAGGCAGCATGACGGAGGCAAAACAGGTGACTGTCACCCGGAGACAAGGGCACACTGCAACCTTCAAACCCGCACAAGGCAGGCTGGAACTCGGGAGACGCATCCATGGGTCCCCGAGCCCCGACAGGGGTTTCCAGGGCCCGTAGGGTAGCAACTACGGGAAGCCCGGGCAAGGTGTTGCTAACCGGTTAAGAAACCCAAACAAAACACGGGTAAATGATAATACTGAAAACCCTGGGACGTGTACAAGCACGGGGGCCTAGCAGAGGGCCACCAAAACAATACCAGGGGAACTATGGGCCCACGAGGCAGCACCTCCACCAGGCAACCAAAAACAAAACAAAAGAAAAACCCCGCAAAAGTACACCGTCCCCAGAGCCACAGGAACCGGTCGCCGCTTAGGTGGCAAGCCGCGCAACACCTTGACGCCCTAACCAGCACAAAACCACTCCCTACCCAAGGCCAAACAAGGGCCCCAAGCCCCAGCTGGCCCCAAGGGCGAGTCAAATGCCAAGCAGCAAAAACCTCTACGGAAGCGGTTCCCGAACGCCCCAGAGAAGATAACCCTGACACGCAAGGGCAGTACTCACAGGGCGCCTAGGGAAGGAAGCCCTAGGCGCATGCAGCCCCGGCACTGATGAAGTACTCCTGGCCACCGCACACCACAACAACAGCAGAGAACGCCACACGAGGCAAACACCGCCAAGGAATTTGAGGCCAGAGAAGCGTCTATCCCGGTTGACACTAGCTTGCGAACTGACGGCAGCCGGCGTGGTGAGGTCCGGGGCCCCCCCTCCCCCTCCCGGGGAGGGGAGGGCTGCGTGGACGACCGGCGCGGCAGTAAATTGATTGTTTGATTGTTTTCCTTGGGATTGTAGGGAGTTTTCTACCTCTCTGTTCGGTTTTTGTTGTAGTTTTTTACCATGTGGGGTTTGTTTTGTTACGCCTACCTTTCTGGGTGCCTAACCCCGGTCGATGGCAGATAAGGAAAACCCCCAACCATATGGGGTTTTCCAGGGCCATTGCTCCCTGAAACCTCTCTGAAGGGGCCAGGTTCTGGCGCTGGTCCCTGGTAGGTCTGAACTCCATAGCTAATGTCCCGGTCTAACATAACATACATTAGCCCGAAAAGATCCAGGGAGCCGTAGGGGCTCCCCACAGAAAACGGTGTGAAACATGTATAAACTTGAAAAACATGAGCAAAGTAAAATCTTTTTACGCTCACGGGTACAAACACGCGTAAGATTTTATTCGCCGCAAATTTATTTGACGCTGTGTTGGCCAACTCTACCCATGTTCTTATAGAACTTTCTATTGCGAACACATTGCTATAAAAATGAAATACGTAGCTCCAGAAATAATGTCAGGACAGTGAAACAAGTATAAACTTTCAAAGCGCTGCATCACAACAGTGTCGTCGCTGCTGAAATCACGGCTAACGCTTCGCCCAGTTCCCACACTCGTGCGGGTCACCCGATACCATAATTAGACATTGATAGGCATATGTCTGGGTGGGGAATTTTATTGCGAGTTCAGTGATATCAAAATAAGCGCTATAGGATGACTGTGAGGCTGGCAACAAACGAAAGAGTATGAACATTTACTTCCTGTTTGGGTGTCACGGCGAGTCATCTTCGTGTTTATTTACTTGGTGGTGGGATAGCAAATGCTTTGATGACATTTTATGCATATGATCTTGTAGAGAATTTTATTGCCAACACATTGATACCAAAATGAAAAACGTAGCTCGAGAATTGATGTTAGGAGCGTGAAAAGATTATACACTTTTTTGTGTTTACGCTTGAGCGCCCAGAACGCCGCGCGCACAAGGCGCTTTTTTTTTTCACGAGTGCTGCACGCACTAAAGTGTTAAGGAAGGCCGTCCTAAGTGCATGTAGCCCCAATACACTTCAGGTACACCTGGCCCCCACACCACAAAACAGCAGAGGGCACCATAAATTTCAACACTGCTTGACACACTGAGGCCAGAGATGACGACCACTCCAGATTGCAATAGCCAAAGAATTGGGATTGAGTAGCACACGCGGTGGGTCCAAGCTTCTCCCTGCACAAGGGTAGGGGTGGGTGGGGAGCTGCGCGGAAGTGACGCGACAAGTGGGAGCCGGTCGGCCGAGCGTACAGCATGCTGGACTTGTGATCCTGTGGTCCTGGGTTCGATCCCAGGCGCCGGCGAGAAACAATGGGCAGAGTTTCTTTCACCCTATGCCCCTGTTACCTAGCAGTAAAATAGGTACCTGGGTGTTAGTCAGCTGTCACGGGCTGCTTCCTGGGGGTGGAGGCCTGGTCGGGACCGGGCCGCGGGGACACTAAAAAGCCCCGAAATCATCTCAAGATAACCTCAAGATAACTCAAGATAGGGTGAAATTTGCGTGTTTCCTCTTGAAAACTGAAAAACTCCGTCCCTCTCTCTTTTCAGCTTTCGGTTGTATTTTTCTTACAGTGTGAGGGTCTGTTTTGTTATGCCTACCTTTCTGGGTGCCTAACCCGCCCCCCCCCCCCAATGATGGCAGATAAGGTTAACCCCCAACCACAGGGGGGGTCTTCAAGGGCCATTGTTCCCTGCGCCTCTCCAAGGGGGCCATGTTGTGGCTAGTGGTCCCCAGTAGGCAGAACTCCATTGACTAATGCCCTGCTCTAAAGATTGCAAGGGAGCCAACAGGGCTCCCCCACAGAAAAAACGCAAATAGTTATATTTTCAATAATAACATGGTAAAACACCAAAGTAATTGTGTTGAACTTTATAAATGTGATTAAGTTAAGACTGCAGCAATCTGCCATGCTAGACTTGTTAGCAGTCTTGTTCACAATAACAGATGGTACATATTCTTTAACAAGACAATAACATGGTGAAGAGAGTTTGCTAGTACCAAGGGATTTTCTTGACTATAAAAAGCAGCTGGACAAAAAATTTCTGGAAATGTTTGTGTTTTACTTCTGAAAAATTAACCAGCAGAATTGAATTCCATCTTGGAAAAATAAAACATACCGCTGTTGCTTGAATATGGTGTTGCTGTGTCACCATTGGGCTGTGTTCACACTGGCATGACTCTTTCCTCGAGTTTTGTAGAGAAGCAAAGCCAGGGAAGTCTGCTTTGGACAAAACTCAAGCAAAGAGGCATGCAGAGACGTAACTGAATTTGCACGACACCATGAAGCATTCTTAAGCTTGGAACCCTTACAGTTAAAATCCAAAATAATGTTAGATCTACTGAAACTAATAATGAAACAGCTACCATTAACCAACAAAACGCAACTGAGTGAGTTGGCCTCATCCTTCGACCCTCTAGCTGGCTGGCTAAGTGTATAGTGGCAGTAATGGGTGTTAAAATACTTTAGTAAACTTATTTGGTGAATCAGTGTTATCAACTATTTCTCTTCAGTGTTAATGTGTCTTAAAGTGTTACTTTGTGACATCGGGTTGTTCTCTTGGATGTATGTTGAGCTCTAGTTTCCAAAAGTTCCTTGTTCTTTATGAGAGGTCAAGACATTATTGACAGGGTCCATGTCCACTGTGGGTTAAGGTCTCCCAGGACCCGGATGCGCACACAATACCCTGACCATAGTGACCTTGGGGAGCCAGCGGCTGAGCGGATAGAACACTGGACGTGTGATACTGTGGTCTCGGGTTTGATCCCAGGCGCAGGCGAGAAACAATGGGCAGAGTTTCTTTCACTCTGATGCCCCCCTGTTATCTAGCAGTAAATAGGTACCTGGGAGTTAGTCAGCTGTCACAGGCTGCTTCCTGAGGGTGGAGGCCTGGTCGAGGACCGGGCCGCGGGGACACTAAGCCCCGAAATCATCTCAAGATAACCTCAAGATAACCATGCCAGTGATTTAAACAATGAGAGCCACTAAACAGGCTAGCCAGGAACAAACTGTTTGAATACCAAAGCTCACACTTACTTGAAAATAAGTAAACGAAGTCATGAAGAGGTAAGGTATCAGTCTAAGTGTTGTACCCACAGCCAAAAGAAACTCAAACTTGTGAATACCAAGTCTCCAATATCCCCGAAGACCCAAACACCACATCTTGAAGATGACTTCCAAGTTAAAGAATATTGTAAATCCCACCTGTGTAGAGAAAAAGCAAACATTTAATCATTACTCAAATATATTAAATGAAATGGTATTCTATGTCAACTCTGCATGTTAACCTTTATTAATGTTTTAATTCATTCTAAATTACTTACCCAATAAATTCTAAAAATAACAAAATTGCATTTTATATCATCTCTAATTAGTAAGGGATATATCCATGCAACAAGGAGGGTTAGATTAACCCTCAAACCGCTAAGGGCTTTTTGGCCTGTAACACCACCAGGCGCAACAAAAAAATAATTTAAAAAATTCTTTCGTCTTATAAAAGTGTTTATTTGTGTTTCCTAATCATGGAAAAAGGAATAAAAAAAATCATAGGTGACATATTATGGCCGCAATAAGGGGGAAATTCTGGCAAAAAACCAGCGTTGAATGTAATGAAACGCCATTTTCTGGGTGAGTCCCGGAGGCTCCCCGGAGATATCCAGGCTGAATGGATATGTATAACTTTCTGGTATCAGTCAAAGTGCTAGGAGTTCTTGCCTACCGGGGACCACGAGCCAGAACCTGGCCCCCTCAGAGAGGAACGAGGAGCAATGGCCTATAGAAACCCCTTTGTGATTGGAAGCATTCTATGTCTGCCATCGACCGGGACAGACACCCAGAAAGGTAGGTGCCCCAAAACAAACCCACATTCTGGTGAAATTATTGCTACCGAAAGCCGAACGAGTGGACAAAACTCCCCAAACAAAATTATCAAATTAGCATGACGTCATCACGTCACCGCGCCACCGTCTGCGCAACCCTCCCCTCCCCCTCCTCGAGAGGGGGAAGGGGGAGCCCCAGACCCTCCATGCTGGCGATCCAACTGGCAGTTCTTAGGCTGGATGTCAAATACGTGAAAAACGCCGCCGACCGGAGGGAGGGCGGGATGCCAGGGAGCCTCCGGGACTCACCCAGAAAATGGCGTTTCATTACATTTAACGCTGGTTTTCTGGGGGGAGCCCCGTCGGCTCCCCGGAGCTACCTCCCCAAAGATAAGTAAAACAGGGAACCGGGAGGCGGATACCACACGTCCTAACTGAACAACCAAAACCAGAGACAAAACAAAGACCAAAACGAGAAGAAAAAGACCACCCAGGCCAACGACCAGGACGGCCCCAAAACTCAAGAGCAGGCCAGAGGGGAACAACGCCCAGGACAGCAAAAGGAATGGAGCAGAAGGAACCGCAACACTGAACGCAAGCAGGAGCGGCTCTGCCAGCACCACCCAACATGAGGTGACAGGACAATCCCAGACGACAGTCCCAGAACAACCCCGAAGGGAATACAAGCCAACCCTATCAAAGACCGAAGGACCCTTCACAATGATAGGAAAACCACACACTGCCCCCCGAGATGAAACACGCAGGTGGGAGACCAATAACCTGGGACCTGTGTTCAGATTTGCAAAACGCGAAGCTAAAAACAGAGACCCTGCAACCCAAAGGAGCAACATAACCAGTTCCAGCAGGGAAGAATGAGACACGCATCCCCAAGGCATCCAAGAGGATAACTACCGTGGACGAGAACCGCAGGAAAGCAAAAACACCCGGTCCGGAAAAGGAACAAAGAAAAACCAAAACCAGGACTGGAACCCAGCAAAACCCAGTTCCAAGAAAAGGAAGCAGGAAAGCAGGAGCGGCAGACCGAAAAGTCCACATCCCCCTCCCCCCTCACAGACAGCGCAACCCGAAGCCCGCAGAAAAACACACAGAAATCGCAGGAACTCGGTACCAAAATGGAACACCGGAGAAGTCCAAAAGCAGGACATGGAACATGGACAGAGGCCCACCGGAGCACCAAACAGGAAAACCAAGAAGCACTGACCCAGACACAAAAAAGTGTAGCATGGGGAGGAAAAACGGAAATAAGTAAGGAAACCACGAATACGGCCCAAGGAGCGGCCGGGAAGTAACGTACACGACCAACCACAAAATGTGTTAAGGAGCGCCTACATACCTGAGGGACCTTACGGACTGCAGGGTGCAGTCAGGCACCGAAGATAGGCAAGGAAAGTATCCAGACAGGGAAAAAACCCAGGGGTCGACAACGAAAACAAAAGCACCAAAATGCGGGGCAGAGCCCCACAGGACAACAAAGAACAAAAGATAGATAAAAAAGGCACTAAAGACACATGCAAGGTGACCAAACACCACAACAAACACCCCAGATAGGAGCCATCGACGCAATCCCGCCAAACGGGGAAGAGAAAACAAGGATGGAACAGTGAACAAGGGTGGCGGAGGAAGTAGAGTATCCCAAGAAGATACTCGCTCCAAACGCATGAGCCTAACTAGAGAAGCAAAGCTCTCCAAAGTACCAACGATGGAACTCAAACCGTTCCATACGTCCAAGGAAAAGTCCTACCAACCTGTGGAGAACTGTGAGGCGGCGCCCAAGCATATAACCAGCAGAGTAGCGAAGAACAACTAGACTACCTGCAAGTGTGGTCTAGAACAGACATGCAAGACACCGTACCGACACTCAGAGCGCCCAACCCGCACCATTGCCCACCAAAATATCACCCGCAACTACTGAATACGCAACAAAAGATAAGTAGTTCCTTAGTGGTTGTGTTTATTGACCAATCTCCACGAAACAATAGAAACTGGGACAGTGGCAAAAGCCACCCTTGCGGCACATTGTGGGTACGAAGCAACGGGCATAAAAGGGATAAGCGCAGAAACAGGAAAGACCGGAGGAATGACCTGCACTGTAATAGGCCCGGTGACTCGCGGAACCAATTACCACGTAACGTGGTGGTGGGGCTCCACGATTGGTGCAAGGGCGGGTTGGACATGTATGTGAGTGGGAATGGATGGTAAGAAACAGTAGCTGCCTCGCACGGGCCAATAGGCCCTCCGCAGTTCCACTGTACTTATGTCCGTATGTTTGTACGCACAAGGGGACACAGGAGGTAGTGAGCACCCAAAGGAGCCACAAACACTAAAAGAACCAGATTAATGTCAGAGGGGAAAAAAAGCGAAAAGCACCAAAAAGCCATGTGGAGGAGGCAGACTCCACCCACAGGAGCAAACGTGAAGACAGAGCCCAGAAGGCATAGGAAACTGCACAATCGTCAACTGACAGGAGAAGCGGGGCCCAAGAGCCAGAGTCAACCCCCACAAGCACAACTAGGCAAGCACCCCACCAAGTGAGAACCAGCACTAGGCCGACAGAAGCTCCAGACAAGACAACCTCACCTGCAGAGCAGACACACGACCGTACCACAACACAGGCGAGCCAAGTAACATACCAGGAGCAGCGCTAAAGGTGTGCCCAAAAGCCATGCATACTCGAGGCAGTAGGCATAGTATGTACCTGAATAAAATGCGAGGTCGAAGGAGAATACGGCCAGAGGTGCGCACCCTGCAGAAGACGAAGTAGTACAGAGGGAGAACAAAGTGACACCCCCCCAGATATAAATCCAAAACACCCTCAGCATCCAGAGGGCCACAACTGGAGGGAGAAACGAGCAAGAAGCCGTAGAAAACCACGAGAAACGACGCAAACACACGAGCATACCGCCCGTAAACAAAACGCACACCGCGGCTCCAGCACACAAGGTACGAAACGCACCCGTCCACCGGGAGGCGTGGCTCGTACACAAGGCGGACACAAATCGTACACACAACGTACAGACATTGTAGAAACACCAGGAAAGCGTGTGGAATGAAGACAAGGAACGCCGAAACTGGAAGTAGAGACGACGCGAAAACAAGGCAAAAACGAAGCGAAAGAAAACAGATGATGGAAGGGAACCAACAAGGCCGACAAAAGACCCGATGGAAACCACATCAAAAATCAACAGACGTTCCAATAATATTGGAAGGTACGAAGAGACTCGCGAACCAACGAGAACCATGACAAGCACCCCTGACCAATGAACATGCAGGGACAACGATACGAAGCGGTTTAGGCACTATGTACTAGGTCAATATAGACATCCATCAATGTTAGTTTCACACCTTGTATGGATGCACCTTACCTGAACACTTTTTTTTTCTTTCTTTTGTGAACAGCATCGCGACATAAGAGCAAAACGGGTAAGGAAAAAGGGGGTGAAACACACCCCCAGAAACGACGGGACCGACGAACCCGAAGGAACACGAAACCGAAACCCAGGGAGGGGTATACCCGAAAACAACAGGAACACAGAGGGAAGGAACAACCCCACTCTGAGGAACTGCCAGCCCCACACCAAAGGTACAAGGACCCAAGAGGGGCAAACGGGGCCGAGGCCCCCCAGGCAACCCCTCCCTAACCCCGGGAATCTCTACGGAATGACCCAGGGCCGAGCTGCACCCCCAAAGCCCCAGCTTAACAAGGAAAAGCCGGGGCAGCCGTGCAAACACTAATGAAGGGAGCCCACTGGTCAGACCCATACAGCACGGCTGGAGGAACCGACTCGAATGCCTCCGCCGCCACCCCGGAAGAGGAAAACCCCCGAGACCGCCCGAGTCTCAACCCAACCAGACCCCGCCAAAACCCCGAAACCCACCTATGGTTCGGAGCAGGAAGCAAGGGAGGAAGTGAGTAGAACAGAAAGGGAGGAACAAGAAGCGGAAGGAGCCAGAGCCGAAGCGACCCCCACCCCCAAGTCCAGACCCCAACCACCAAAACAGGGCAGCCTCGGGGCATCCGGGGCCGCAAACCAAGAGTGTTGCAGCAACACACACCCAGCAAGCAACGCCGCAGCCGCCTGCACCCGATTATCAAGACCAGTGGCCTGGGTGAAGGAGCGCGTACCGACAACAATCATCGGACGACTCCGGGTCACAAGAACAAGGACCCAACAGGCAGCATGGCGGAGGCACAACCGGTGAGTGTCACCCTGAGACAAGGGGACAGATCAACCGTCAAACTCACAGGACGCGAGGGGGACTCCGGGGACACACCTAGAGGACCACGGAGCCCCCGTGGTGTTTCCCAGGGCCCTTAGCCTTTGGTACACGCTAAGGGAAGCCCAGGCAGGGTACCGCGAACCGGTG